GAGCTCTGGTTGCTCTGATTACTGTGTTGAGACAGATCTCCTCTTTTGGGGTCACCTCCTAATATGTGACACTGCTCTACCAGCTCTGGGATCAGAAAGGATTGGTGTAGTAACCTGCTTCTCCAGTTTGTAGTGGGGGGGGGTGCTTATGTGTAGTATATCTGCTTTGGCTTCTCTTTTCATTTCTCTCACAGCTGGCTCCATTGCTGCCCTGGCTGCTCCATGAAAGTGTATCCTGCTCCCAGCTTTTCTTGGAGAGCCCTGTCCCAGGGGAGGGGAGGGGAGGGGCTGGGCTTGGTTGGGGGATGAGGTGGGCACTGTCTGGGACCCACCTTGGGCTGGGCAGGGTCAAGGAGGAGGTAGCCAAGGCTTGACAGGGTTTTGTGAGCAGTGCAGGCAAGCGGAGCCCCTAGGACACAGCAGCGCAGCTGTCCTCAGGTAGCAGAGCCCAGAGCAGGCTGGGCAGGAGGGGAGCTGGGTTTGGAGGTCAGAGCAAGGGCTGGTGCTGGAGGAGGGTTGCAGAAGCATGGTCATGACTGAAGAATCATAAAATCCAGGGGACAGAAAGGGCTGGAGGGGTCACTTATCACCCCCTGCACCTCACCGAGCCTGGCCAGCCTCTTCTTAAATTCACCTAGGATGGGGCTTCCTGGGGCAGATTTTTCCAGGCCCTGTCAGCTCTGATGCTAGGATGTTGACAGATTAGTATTGGATGTCCTGGTGCCACTGTTACAGCCTAGTGAAGCTAAAGTTTTGTAGCTGTTAACTTGTTTCATTCAGGGTTAATGGGATTGGGGTTTCACTCACTGGGGCTGTGGTGGGTCTGATAAACTGGAAAAGCTGATGCACACTCCTTAGTGAAGTCCCCTCTTTTTAACATGGCTTGAAGTTTCCTCTGTAAACAGCTACAAAAAGATACACTGCATCTGCCTTCTTGGGGTTGAAACCCACTGCCCTGCTCTCCGGGCTGGAGTGTGGTTCACCCTCCTCTGTGTCCTGGAGCCTGCAACCCTATCACCCATTCCCCTTCTTTTCTTTCACACTAACCCTGCCTGGCTCCTCCAGCCCTCCCCCTTCCAGCTTGCTGTACAGACTCAGTTAACCCTCTCACCCATTTAACCACTTCCCTTCTGCAGACAGGGGCCCCTATCCTGAAAGGAAGGGAGCTCCTATCCTGGGGAAGTTCCTTCTGTCACAGGGGCAGAGAGCACAGATAGCATTCGTTCCCCATCTCCTCCAGTAATGTAATGAGTGGGGACTGAGGGGGGCACCACCAGCCCTAATTTCTGTTTTTAATTGATTGGCAGAATTAGATCACCGTGGGAATTTTTGCCGTGGCAGGAAACAGCCTTGTGCTGTGCAGGTCTATGAGGCAACCAGGGGTAGCCCCTCGCCTAGTAGTGTATGTACTACTGCTGGTGCTTCTTGGGCAATCTTAGACATAGCAGGGGTACCCTGTACCCAGTGGGCAGGGAGAAGGAGTGAATGGCATATCAGGGGCAGGTTCTGGGACCAGGCACCATGGGGCTGCTGCTGTGGCTGGTGAGCAGTGGGTCCCCCCCCCCCCAGCAGTAGCCCGAGCCCAAGCAGCTATAGCAGTAGTGGCAGTCACTCCCTTCCCCAGCTCTGCAGGGGTCTGCCTCATCCCCTCCTCATCATAGGCCCTGGGCTCTGAGAGACAGCTCACTCCACTAGTAGGGGGAGGGGATGTGGGGCACCATCCTGGGGCACTGCTTTAGATGGGGTGCCAGAATCAGCTACAACCCATTTGCTGGGATAATTTTGGGGTGGGGGTGACTCTGGGGAGGCTGCTTGTCTAGGAGGAGCTGCTGGGTGGGGGAAGGGAGATGGGAGGCATCCCCTGATCCTGGATATCTGAGCGAGCCGAAGACTTTGGGGTTGTGGGGGGAGAGCAGAGGGACTCCCCTTTACCCTGTCTTGGGGGGGACAACTCAAACAATATACTAACCTCACCTGTCAGATTTTGGAGACTAGGCACTTCTCCTTTCATTTCTACAGCTATTATCAGAAAGGCACACACACCCCCACTTCTAGGAAAGCAAAACTGTATGTAACATGCTGACCTTTTGCTATACCCACGTCTTCACTCTCCATCCTCCCAGCTCCCTTAGCTATAACTTCTTTTTCTTCACTTCCATCTGTGAAGCTGAATGCTTCTCAGATCATTTGGCTGCAGCCTGCCAAATGCTGCTGGATCTGCACCTTATTGGGGTTTAACTGGATATTCAGCCATACAGCCCCCTTCCTGCAGACTGCCCCTCTGATCCTGCTTCCATCAGCACAGTTGCTGGGGCCTCCTTTCCTAACATTCCCTGGTGTAGACAAGGGTCCTGATACCTTTCTGGGATTAATTTCCTTTGTTAGGTTTTTCCCAAAATGCTGGATCATTAGATACGCTCAACACATGATTGTCCGTAGCATAGGG